TATATATATATATATATATATATATATATATATATATATATATATATATATAGTATTTTTATTATTAAATAGTGATAATTGTATTTTTCCCCCTTTTTATTTGCTTGTAAAAGAGAAGGCTTTATTATGTTATTATTAAATATGAAATAATTATTGTATTAATAATAATAATGATGATGATGGTAATAATAAATATATTATTTTCTTTTTATTTGCCTTTAAAAGGGAAGGCATCTTATTTTTAGCTCCATGGGCATATTTTTTTTTATCTTTAAAATGTTAATGTTTTATACTATGAAGTCACTCATCTGTGTATAAAGTATATGTAACCAAAGGTGTATTATTTTGTGTGCATTTCTTTTTTTTTTTCATGTATTTTTGTTTGTTTGTCCTCCCCAACTTAATTAACAGGTTTGATCTGATTAGCCAGACATTTCAAGCTGTTAATACCAGGGCTAAATTACCGACCCCCCTTTGCACCCTCTCAGAAGAACTAAATAGATTATCCATCTTTTCTACTGTAAATTAAAATGTCTTAATGCCTATTTTACTTAGATTGACACTCCAGTGTGAACATTTTATAAAAAGAAAATGTGCTAAACTGTGCAGATTTGTAATGTTGGTCATCATGTCAACTGCTTAACAATAATTATTGGCTGTCAGTTACCAATGTAATTTTTCTGTCAGTGCCAGTGCATCCCTAGTAATTAAGCTCATCTGTGTTTGTCCTTTTAGCCCAGCAGGCCGGTGATGGGCAGAGTGACAGTGGCACCAGCTCAGAACCCACATCATCTACAGAACCAGCCAATCCCACAACACAAAGCAGAGCCATCACCACAGTAACACAGGCCACGCCCACTCCAGGACCATCAGTACCGGTACACAAACACCTCTAAACTGATCGGCTGGATTTATGCAATTTCCTGTGGAAAACATACCTGTTACCAGGAATACCATATTCTACTTTGCTCCCAAAGTTACTAGTAAAGTCGTTTTACATGTATACACAGTCCTTTCCTGTCTAATTGGGTACATCCAAACCAGAATAAGCTGTAGTGGAAGCCACTTTTTGCTTCTAGTCTTGCAATTTTTTATTTTTTTAACAAATGCCTGAATTCTGTTCTTAGACATGCAAATAAATGCTCTAGATTAAGATGTTTTGTCATCCTCCTCACGTTCTGTTTGTGTTTTCTCCACAATGTAGGAGATTTCGTCCATGGCTGGATCTGTGGTAGTGGCTGAGGTCCCGGGAGAGGCTGAGGCCATGGAGCAGACCAGCACTGAGGCCGGAGCAGCGGGAGAAGAGCCCATGCAGACTGAGTGTCAGGGAGAGCTGGGTGAAGAGGGAGCTGTCAGGGTCGTTGCCATAGATGAAAGTGCAGGGGGAGAGGAGGGCACCATGCTACAGGTTCATGTCGCCATGGAAGCACAGCCGCCAGGTCAAGGGGATCAGGCTGAGGTAAGGAAGAAACTTTGTGAAGTCAACTTTATTTAGTGCAGTGTAAAGTACAGATGGTTTCAAAGCTGCTTCACAGTAATAAACGGGTAAATAACAGAATCAACGATGCAAACTTCAAATGAGACAAATTGTACAGAAGTTCTACAGAAGATAATAATGTCATCATTAAGCTCAAGTCACTTCAGTGTTGATTCAGTTCAATGAAGTTCATCTATTATGAAAAGAGTTCACCTCAGCTATAAGTAGCTCTACAAAGGGTGAGTGTTGGGGCTGTTGCGATTAACCGCAATATTGTAATATCGTGATACTGACAAGCCAACCGCAGAGTATGACAAGCAGCCGCCACAACAGCGATGTTCACTTTTTTTCTTTCTTTCTTAGAATTAGAATAGAGAGGGCTAGAGTTAGGGGGTCAAATGAAGATGGAAGAAATGTGTTTTAGCTGTTTCTTGAAGATGGCTAAGGACTCAGCTGCTGGGATTGAGTTGGGCAGGCCATTCCACCAGGAGGGTGATTTGCTGATTTTAATATGCTGATTTGCTGCTCAAGAAACATTTTATGTTATTAATGTTAATGCATATTAGATGGCTTTCACACTGGGCTCGTTTGCTGTGGTTCGAACCCGAGTGCATTTGTTCCTGGCACCCCCCCGCAGCGTTGGTCTGGTTTCACGCTCTCTTGATTCTGTTGAACCCCGGTGTGTTTGCAGTCATCTTACGCAGTGGTGTAATAATACTTTGTTACAGTACTTAAGTATTTTTTGGGAGTATCTGTACTTTACTTGAGTTTTTATATTTCAGCCAACTTTTTACTCCACTACATTTCCTAATTAAAATTTATACTTTTACTCCGATACATTTCCCCGAAGCATATTAGTTACTTACTACAAAATAGTCAGAAGAACACGGACCTGCATTAACGAATAAAGCAGGTTTGACGAATCAGTGGTCTGGCGTTTGGAAGTTAGACTCCTTAAAACTCCTTTGCTCATGTGCAAATATATATATATATATATATATATATATATATATATATATATATATAGTATTTTTATTATTAAATAGTGATAATTGTATTTTTCCCCCTTTTTATTTGCTTGTAAAAGAGAAGGCTTTATTATGTTATTATTAAATATGAAATAATTATTGTATTAATAATAATAATGATGATGATGGTAATAATAAATATATTATTTTCTTTTTATTTGCCTTTAAAAGGGAAGGCATCTTATTTTTAGCTCCATGGGCATATTTTTTTTTATCTTTAAAATGTTAATGTTTTATACTATGAAGTCACTCATCTGTGTATAAAGTATATGTAACCAAAGGTGTATTATTTTGTGTGCATTTCTTTTTTTTTTTCATGTATTTTTGTTTGTTTGTCCTCCCCAACTTAATTAACAGGTTTGATCTGATTAGCCAGACATTTCAAGCTGTTAATACCAGGGCTAAATTACCGACCCCCCTTTGCACCCTCTCAGAAGAACTAAATAGATTATCCATCTTTTCTACTGTAAATTAAAATGTCTTAATGCCTATTTTACTTAGATTGACACTCCAGTGTGAACATTTTATAAAAAGAAAATGTGCTAAACTGTGCAGATTTGTAATGTTGGTCATCATGTCAACTGCTTAACAATAATTATTGGCTGTCAGTTACCAATGTAATTTTTCTGTCAGTGCCAGTGCATCCCTAGTAATTAAGCTCATCTGTGTTTGTCCTTTTAGCCCAGCAGGCCGGTGATGGGCAGAGTGACAGTGGCACCAGCTCAGAACCCACATCATCTACAGAACCAGCCAATCCCACAACACAAAGCAGAGCCATCACCACAGTAACACAGGCCACGCCCACTCCAGGACCATCAGTACCGGTACACAAACACCTCTAAACTGATCGGCTGGATTTATGCAATTTCCTGTGGAAAACATACCTGTTACCAGGAATACCATATTCTACTTTGCTCCCAAAGTTACTAGTAAAGTCGTTTTACATGTATACACAGTCCTTTCCTGTCTAATTGGGTACATCCAAACCAGAATAAGCTGTAGTGGAAGCCACTTTTTGCTTCTAGTCTTGCAATTTTTTATTTTTTTAACAAATGCCTGAATTCTGTTCTTAGACATGCAAATAAATGCTCTAGATTAAGATGTTTTGTCATCCTCCTCACGTTCTGTTTGTGTTTTCTCCACAATGTAGGAGATTTCGTCCATGGCTGGATCTGTGGTAGTGGCTGAGGTCCCGGGAGAGGCTGAGGCCATGGAGCAGACCAGCACTGAGGCCGGAGCAGCGGGAGAAGAGCCCATGCAGACTGAGTGTCAGGGAGAGCTGGGTGAAGAGGGAGCTGTCAGGGTCGTTGCCATAGATGAAAGTGCAGGGGGAGAGGAGGGCACCATGCTACAGGTTCATGTCGCCATGGAAGCACAGCCGCCAGGTCAAGGGGATCAGGCTGAGGTAAGGAAGAAACTTTGTGAAGTCAACTTTATTTAGTGCAGTGTAAAGTACAGATGGTTTCAAAGCTGCTTCACAGTAATAAACGGGTAAATAACAGAATCAACGATGCAAACTTCAAATGAGACAAATTGTACAGAAGTTCTACAGAAGATAATAATGTCATCATTAAGCTCAAGTCACTTCAGTGTTGATTCAGTTCAATGAAGTTCATCTATTATGAAAAGAGTTCACCTCAGCTATAAGTAGCTCTACAAAGGGTGAGTGTTGGGGCTGTTGCGATTAACCGCAATATTGTAATATCGTGATACTGACAAGCCAACCGCAGAGTATGACAAGCAGCCGCCACAACAGCGATGTTCACTTTTTTTCTTTCTTTCTTAGAATTAGAATAGAGAGGGCTAGAGTTAGGGGGTCAAATGAAGATGGAAGAAATGTGTTTTAGCTGTTTCTTGAAGATGGCTAAGGACTCAGCTGCTGGGATTGAGTTGGGCAGGCCATTCCACCAGGAGGGTGATTTGCTGATTTTAATATGCTGATTTGCTGCTCAAGAAACATTTTATGTTATTAATGTTAATGCATATTAGGTGGCTTTCACACTGGGCTCGTTTGCTGTGGTTCGAACCCGAGTGCAGTTGTTCCTGGCACCCCCCCGCAGCGTTGGTCTGGTTTCACGCTCTCTTGATTCTGTTGAACCCCGGTGTGTTTGCAGTCATCTTACGCAGTGGTGTAATAATACTTTGTTACAGTACTTAAGTATTTTTTGGGAGTATCTGTACTTTACTTGAGTTTTTATATTTCAGCCAACTTTTTACTCCACTACATTTCCTAATTAAAATTTATACTTTTACTCCGATACATTTCCCCGAAGCATATTAGTTACTTACTACAAAATAGTCAGAAGAACACGGACCTGCATTAACGAATAAAGCAGGTTTGACGAATCAGTGGTCTGGCGTTTGGAAGTTAGACTCCTTAAAACTCCTTTGCTCATGTGCAAACAAGTGCGTGCACAAGCGCGGATGATTCATTTTCCACTCAAGTCGAGTCTGGGGTGTGCGATATACAGTATATCATCTGCGATGATATGGTAAGTGTTGTTGTAATGATGTGCGATCTGACATTATCAAATAGGCCAGTATTATTATTATCAAATAGGCCAAACTGTTTGAGAACCACTGAAATAGGCTATATCACCAAATCACACACAGAGTGCATTGATTTATTAGTCTATTAAAACTCAAAATTTGAGGTATTCTAAATTGTAGACGGCAAAAATGCTTCTGTATGCTTTTTATATTTATATAATTTAATATAGTTCACTTAATCTATAGCACACAGTTTTTCTGCAGATATCAGCATGAACGGATTTAATAATCATTTTAAACAAGTTGAGTAAAGCAATAAGTGACTTACATTTTAGACATAATATTGCTTGTTTTTTGCTCAGTTTTGCTAACGAAAATAGTTCCAAACAAAGATCACAGCACTGTTTTGCATCTCTGAGCAATGGACGGTGTTTACTTATTGAACGAATCGGTTGAATAAATGATTCAGTGATTCACTCATTAACACAGTCAAATGCCCTGTTTCTGAATGAATCAGTCGTTTGAATGAATCGGTTGAATTTCACTGACAGGCATTCTAAATTGTAGACGGCAAAAATGCTTCTGTATGCTTTTTATATTTATATAATTTAATATAGTTCACTTAATCTATAGCACACAGTTTTTCTGCAGATATCAGCATGAACGGATTTAATAATCATTTTAAACAAGTTGAGTAAAGCAATAAGTGACTTACATTTTAGACATAATATTGCTTGTTTTTTGCTCAGTTTTGCTAACGAAAATAGTTCCAAACAAAGATCACAGCACTGTTTTGCATCTCTGAGCAATGGACGGTGTTTACTTATTGAACGAATCGGTTGAATAAATGATTCAGTGATTCACTCATTAACACAGTCAAATGCCCTGTTTCTGAATGAATCAGTCGTTTGAATGAATCGGTTGAATTTCACTGACTCGCTCATTAACAGTCACTTGCTGTCACATACTGGCGATTTTAATTTCACATTTTTTTCAACGTTTTATGTTAAAAACAAAACATTAGTCCTATTTATGCATCTATAACTGCAGTTTAAATGCATCCATGTCCCCTCTGAGATACATAAACCGTGTGAATACATCTAAATGCTATTGCAGATGCAGATTCCAGAAATGTTTTCTTATGTTGGAATGAAAGACACTAAGTACCGGATGAAGTGCTTCTTATTCTTACCCAAAAATACAAAATGGAAGAAAGAGTTAAACGGAACACAATCTTGCTACTCAAGCTGTGTATGAATTTTTTTAAATATATATTCATTTGCTTCTTTTCCATTTTGCATTTACTTGCACTTTTACTTTCAATACTTAAGTACAAAAAGTATTTTTTAAATCTTAAAAGTACTTAAGTACAATTAATATCACATACTTTAAGACTTTTACTCAAGTAATATTCTAAACGGTGACTTTCAACTTTTACCAAAGTAATTTTCTGGTAAGATATCTGTACTTTTACTTGAGTATGGCTTTCAGGTACTTTATACACCACTGATCTTACATCATCACAAACGTGCACAACGTATGATAGAACACAGAACGTGGGTCAATATATTGTTTTTTTTAATTAATTTGGAGCTATTATGCACAGCAGAGTAAACGACATAAATGGGTTTTACTGTATGTGCGGCGCATGTAAATGGCTATTTTGAGGAGACAGCAGATTACCATTCATTTGCTGCTCTGATTGCAGTTGCTACACGCGAATATACTGCAGGCTCACTCTCACTCGAATCCAAGGTAAATCAGCAGCACTATCATCACTTATATGTGTTTTATTGAAGAAAATATATTGTAATCGGGTAAAACGCATGCGCAGGTACTTCCTGAACAAGTGCGCACCCGAGTCTGTGTTGCGTTCATATTCATGCGAACTGTGCCACAGTTCAAGTGCAATCGAACTCCGACCACCTCCTTCAGGACAGGTAGTCTCTGGTTCGGTGCCCCGGTGTGCACCCGTGTTCGCATGACAGCTTTCACACTAGCCGAACGTACCGAACTCTGACGTCAATCGAAACACACCAAACATGCTAGTGTGAAAGTGCCCTTAGTGTTGCTAATGCAGTTGTGCTGCATAATATTTTTGTGGAAACGGTAATGCATTATCCTTCATGATTCTTTGATAAATAGAAAGTTCAAAAGAACAGCATTTATTTGAAATAGAAATTTACTTTACTGTCATTTTTTGATCACTTTTCAATGCATCCTTGCTGAATAAAGCATTATTTCTTAAAAAAAAAAAAAATCTTACCTTAAACTAGGGCTGGGCGATATGGCCAAAAAACAAATTCACAATAAACTTTTTTCATATCAGTCAATATCGATAATTATCATGATAAATTTCAAATCTTTATTTCTTTCAAATTTAAAGGCAGATTTTTGCTTCCATGTGAAAATTTTAGAAACCAGACATTACTTGTGGTTTTAAACTACTTTTTATGGTCAGAACATGACGAACACTTCAGGTTTTTGAATTATTTACACTTTTCCAGTAATTTTACCTTAACAAAATTAGTGGTTGACTGAAATGGGATTTTTAATGGCCGATGCCAATATTGAGAAATCAATCTTACCGATATAATACATGTAATTACAGTAAATGAGAGAGATGCAGAAAATTGGTGAAACTAAATGAACATTAATTATGCATAAATATTTATTAAAACCTAAATTAGAAAAATTTAAACAGTTGAGGTAACAATTAGTGCAGCCTTTCCTATATATATATATGAATCTCACAGCGCTGTTTGTGGTCGCGTGACCAAGACTCATCAGCGAGTAAACCATCTGCTCTAGTGAGCTCACGCTGTGCTGCCATTTGAACTTTGAGCCAAGTGGATAAATGGTCCATGTGGCACGGTTCAAATGAGTATACATTATATCGAACATTTCTTAATCTCTTTTTATTGTTTTATCAAGAAATTATTTCTCTGCAGTTATCGTTTTATTACCTAGCCCTACCTCAAACTTTTCTTGTGTGAACCTTTTAGCATTTGTTTAATTGTGCAAATAAACAATTCCCGGTTATCTCCATACAGCAGATGGAGGCCGGTGTGGAGGGCGCAGAAGCAATGAGTCTCGCAGCTCAAGACTCAGAAGCCCTCGCTTTGCCCCAGGAGCTGATGTCTGCAGAAGGACAGCAAACCACCCTCATGGTGACTGGACTGACCCCAGAGGAGCTGGCTGTGACCGCAGCAGCAGAGGCTGCAGCACAGGCTGCGGCTACAGAAGAAGCACAGGCCCTCGCCATCCAGGCTGTCCTACAGGCGGCTCAGCAGGCTGTGCTCAGTAAGTGTACGAGAGACTGCCATATGCTTTATGATGTATACAGTAGAGTTTGACTTAAATTCCTGTCTCAGGTGCGGGTGACGCAGGTCAAGACGGGCAGCAATCCACCACCATCCCTATAGTTTTGACCCAGCAGGAACTCGCTGCTCTGGTTCAGCAACAGCATCAGCTCCAGGAGGCGCAGGCGGCCGCAGCCGCAGCCCAGCAGTTAAGCGCTGAAGCAGCCGCAGCTGCTCTGCCCACTGAAGGCTTGGCACCAGCAGACAGCCTCAACGACCCAGCATCTGAGAGCAATGGCCACGAGATGGGAGCCGTGGCCCGTCTCCTTCCACGTACTTCTGCAGAGAGTAAGAGATGTTTGTTTTTGTGTTTAAATGCTTGTTTTTAATGGTGCAAACAAAAATGAGTGGTAACACACAGTACGGTCTCATTGCACAAAAATGAAAATTTGCAGAAAATGTACTTACCTGCTGGCCATCCAAGCTGTTGATGAGTTTTTCTTCATCAGAACAGATTTGGATAAATGTAGCATTACATCACTTGCTCACCAATGGATCCTCTGCAGTGAATGGGTGCCGTCACAATGATAGTCCAAACAGCTGATAAAAACATCACAATAATCCACAAGTAATCCACACCACTCCAGTCCATTAATTAAAATTAACATCTTGTGAAGTGAAGAGCTGCATGCTTGTAGGAAACAAATCCATCAAAATGTTTTAACTGAAATTTTTATCAGGCTAAAGTACACTAAAACACGGGTCATACGGCTTTCTCCAGTGGAAAAAGTCGCCTCAACTGAATCAGGAAAGGATTTGCACATATTCAAGCACCTTTTACAAGTGAACAGTCTCAAACAGTTCAAGAGAACAACTTTACAGTAAACTGTAAAGATTTTTCTTTTTTTTCTTTTTTTCACAAACAGCTTTTCCTTTCACAAGACATTAATTGATGGACTGGAGTGGTGTGGATTACTTATGAATTATTATGATGTTTTTATCAGCTGTTCAGACTCTCATTCTGATGGCACCCATTCGCTGCAGAGAATCCATTGGTGCTAAATTTCCCCAAATCTGTTCTGATAAAGAAGAAAAACTCTTTTTGTACATGGGTTGCGCGAGGGTGAGTACATTTTCAGCAAATTCATTTTTGGGGTGAATTATTTCTTTAAATGATGTAGTTAACTAACAAATGGGACCTTTTTGTAAAGTGTTACCAAATTAGTTAAGTTGTTCTTTTTTTCTAATAATTTCGTTTTATGATCAAATTTTAGTGCATGCTAAAAATGCCTCCATTTTGCTGCAGCTCTAGCCCCATCAAGTACTTTTGCACCATCTCAGCCAATGGTGGTCGCCAGTCCTGCCAAGATGCAAGCGGCTACTGCTTTAGCTGAGGTGGCCAATGGGATTGAATCAACAGCTGGGGTAAGTTTATTGTTGGTTATCGGTGCAGTAGTTCAAATCATGCACCATTTCAGATGTTGTTAACTTTGAGACTGGTTCAACCACCTGTCTTTGTCATAGAAGCAAGAAGCTCCTCCAGCCATTGTAAAGCCACCAGTGAAGAAAGAGAATCAGTGGTTTGACGTTGGAATCGTTAAGGTTACAAACATGGTTGTCACGCACTATTATGTGCCAGCAGATGATTCAGCGGTTACTGATGTAAGTAATGATCATGTTGCTGTTTGTGCATTTTGCTGCAATTCAAGTAAAATGTCTTTTGGAATAGGAAGTGTTATTTAGGACTAATGAAATCAACTTTACTGGTCGACAGATATATTTTGCCAAGGCCAATAAGTTTGACACTTTGGCTGATAAGATTTGGAAGCGGGATTTCATTTTGACAGTTCTGAAAACTTCATTAGTTTGTTCTTTGTTTAAAAGTTCTATTTAATAATAGAAAGACAAACTATAATATTTTCATGGAATGTCAGCATTTGACAAATGTGCATATATATCAAGTCTTTGAATATCAGTGGCCGGCCGTGCATTTTACACCTAGGCCTTCAGTGGCATCCTACATGAATTAATCCATCCCTTTATACCATCATAATGATGCCACGGCTATAGAAACCATAAATATTACACAGTAATGCAGTATAACAGGGCACTACATAACAGACAGGTATCTTATGTAGCGAGAATGAATGTCATTACTAAAGAAAGAAACCCAATTAACAATTGCGCAACACATCATCTGTAGCTGAAGCATTAACCTAACAAAATGACACAAATACAGTCCATCCGATGTTCTTACAGACATTTACTCACCCAAACGCATTTATACCTTACAGATAGCATTGGTATAAAACAAATAAGGTGATTACATGTGTTTTAAAGTTGACCTAACAATTTAATGTTCTCTTACTGCTTTATTTCGTCTTCACGAGTCTCCCCGCCGGTCTGCCAGCGCACTGCGGGAGGAAAATACTGGTTAGCACAGCTTTACTAGGAAAGTGAGCAAGTAACATTAAAATAATTCATACTAAACGATGAAGAAAAGTGTATAGATGTGTTTTAACGTACCTCTGTGTCTCTCATCTCCCCGGTGGTCTGCCTCTGCCAGCGGCGCTGCGGCCGGAGCAAAAGACCGGTTAATACAGCTCCACTCGGGAAACTGAGATATTCTTACGGAAACTTAAACCTGGCTTTATATCGCGCAAATAACATCAGCATACAACGCATCAAGCGATAAAAGTGTCAAAAATTAAAATGAACCTACCATACTCTAGTGGTTTTTCATCTTCACGAGTCTTTCACAGAGCCGGTGCCAAGGAGGTGTGTGGTTGTTTATCGCAGTCATTAGGACTAACGTTACTGTTTTTAGATTTACTAAATATAGTAGGCAAATCTTTTTTCAAAATGCACTGAAAATCTAAACCCGAGGAACAGTAATAAAAGTTTTAATACAATTATTTACAGTGATTTACATTATTTACATTTACGGTTTCATTGCTATTGATTTAAGCTAACAGACGCCTGCACTGTGGATTCTGAAGGCCTTAAGGCAGATTTCTTTGACCTTGGCAACACGATTGCTGAAATATGATTGGATAAAAGCTCTAATATAAACATACACTGCTGGAAGCAGTGCAACCAAGAGAAAAGCTATGAACTGAAGAGAATAACTATTGGAAATAATTTAATACACATTCATGGGAAAATATATTAAAACTAAATCAGTCATTCTGATAGTGTTTAGGCCAGCAGAGAAGGCTTTGCTGGCCCTGACCGCCCACCACTGTTGAATATCTTGAACACCTAATAAACTGTTACTCGTGTCATAATCACGGTGTACTGTATGTAAAATTAGTGCTACCTGTTTTTTTTTGAGAAAAAGATTCCCAGTGTGCTCAAACACAACAGATTTCTGATTGTACTGGTTACAACTTCTTTATTTATGAAAAATACTATAATAGGATTGATTACAAAATTAAAAACTTGCTATCTAAATTCTAACTTTGCTTTATTTTTTTATCTTAAAATGTTAAAATTACTTCAGTTTCTTTAAATTACTTCATACTATCTTTAAATAGTGAGATATATTGTCTATCGGTCACCCTGCGCTCTAAGATATCGGCATAAGATTTAACAAAAGAAAATCCTTGTCAGCATCTGCATTTAAAAAAAAAAAAAGAGCAAGAAAAGAGAGAAAATCCATATCAGTTGACCACTAATCATAATTTTTGCTATGACCTTGCAGGATGATTCTGGCGCAATCCCAGACTACAGCCGAATGAAGAAGATTGAGCTTTCTCCAGGCACTGCATATAAGTTTCGCGTGGCTGGTATCAACGCATGCGGCCGTGGGACGTTCTCTGAGGTTTCTGCGTTCAAGACCTGCTTACCTGGCTTCCCTGGAGCACCTTGTGCCATCAAAATCAGCAAGGTTGGTCAATGCAAATGGTTTGCGTTAGGTCTACATGTGAGTTAATCTTGGTCACTAAAATATTTTTTCCTCTCCCATTAGAGCCCCGATGGTGCTCACCTGACCTGGGAGCCTCCTTCAGTTACGTCAGGGAAGATCATTGAGTATTCGGTTTATCTGGCCATCCAGAGCTCTCAAACAGTCGAGGCTAAAGCATCCACTCCGGCTCAGCTTGCCTTTATGCGGGTATACTGTGGGCCCAACCCGTCCTGCCTAGTGCAGTCATCTAGTCTCTCCAATGCCCACATTGACTACACCACTAAACCCGCCATCATCTTCCGCATTGCCGCCCGCAACGAGAAAGGATACGGCCCCGCAACACAAGTCAGGTGGCTACAAGGTGAGGACATTTTGTTGGATAGACCCTTTTCAGACTGTGGCAAATTATATTAAAATATTTTTATATATATATATATACATGGGCGACATTTGACTCTTGAGTCAGGGGGGCAAGGGAAAAAAAACAACAACAAAAAAATAAATATATAAGGTTGGTCAATGCAAATGGTTTGCGTTAGGTCTACATGTGAGTTAATCTTGGTCACTAAAATATTTTTTCCTCTCCCATTAGAGCCCCGATGGTGCTCACCTGACCTGGGAGCCTCCTTCAGTTACGTCAGGGAAGATCATTGAGTATTCGGTTTATCTGGCCATCCAGAGCTCTCAAACAGTCGAGGCTAAAGCATCCACTCCGGCTCAGCTTGCCTTTATGCGGGTATACTGTGGGCCCAACCCGTCCTGCCTAGTGCAGTCATCTAGTCTCTCCAATGCCCACATTGACTACACCACTAAACCCGCCATCATCTTCCGCATTGCCGCCCGCAACGAGAAAGGATACGGCCCCGCAACACAAGTCAGGTGGCTACAAGGTGAGGACATTTTGTTGGATAGCCCCTTTTCAGACTGTGGCAAATTATATTAAAATATTTTTATATATATATATATACATGGGCGACATTTGACTCTTGAGTCAGGGGGGCAAGGGAATAAAAACAACAACAAAAAAATAAATATATGAAATAAATAAAAGCAAAATTATTTTTTTCTGATGTAAACATCAAAACAATGCCCTACCGTATTGCAATGCATCAAAACGTCAATCCAACACAGTCAAGAATAACTTAACGAGGTTGCCACCGTTTAGTAAACTGGACTAGCTTTGGCTCTTCCTACTGACTTGAATGGTGATGCTTCCTGTTTGTCAGTTGATGCTGGCCTTTAATTTTTAACCAGAAATGTGCACGCTGCTTTTCTGATGTTCACTGAAGTTTTCCGTGTCTTTTTCCCGTGTCACTTGAAATGTTTCCATTTTGAATCGTTGTTACCAAAGGCGAGACACGTGAGGAAAAAATAAACTATCAGTCGTGGGACTATATTCTGTCATAAATCGCACACCATTCATTGCTGAACTTTCTACCATCCGTTACTGGAAATGAAATGAAATTACTGGTTGATATGTCCCGATCTCAATAAAAGTTTACACTCTTTTGGTCCGTGAATTAGATCTCGCTCGGGACACGCACTGTCTGTGGAGTTTTGGCCAGGACCGGCTCCAGAATGAAATATTTACTACAAAATATTTTATGTTCCGTCCATTGCCAATCACTGCTATTTCAAGAGTGAATACCGCATAAATATGCGGATTTCATTCCCAAAACTTTGCAGGGTGTAGCCGATGTGTCCGAAAAATGAAAGTTTCATACAAATTCTGAATGGATTATACCCTAGAAAGTGCGCAAAGCGCACTCCCTTTATGACTAAAAAGCGTCACTCATCTTCGTTCATCGTGATCTTACAAAGTTCCGTTATAATCAATGAAGCTCTCTAAACTGCACAATGAATCTCTTATTTACATCGCGTCATGAGATGATTCACGAGCGTGCAAAACTGCACTTAAAAACTGCGGCACTTTCAGTGGTGAGTGAATTCTGACAAAACGTTTCTGATTGGCCATTGCGACGAGGTTTTGTTCCGTCCTCCACGCTGTGACAACTCACAAAAGACAATTTTTAGCCAATCAGCGCAGAGAGCCGCTTCAGAAACGTGCTGATAAACACAAGCACTGACTAGAGCTGCCACGATCAGCTCCGGGAGCCGTAACGCGCCGCAAACATCACTGAATCTGCTGTTAAAATTGAACCATTTATTTATCATATCATCATGCAAAACATACACGACAAATAGGGAATTTTTCATTGTTTCTGGAAACGTCATAGCATTTCCACACTGGCGATGACATATATATATATATATATATATATATATATATATATATATAATATATTGTGTGTGTGTTTGTGTGCATATATAAATATACGTATGTAGATATATCTAGTCATTTTTTTTTGTTAAATTTGATAAAAATTTCATATTTATTTTATTCAATTTATATTTTATTTTTAAAATATGTATAAATTTTTTTTCAATTCCATTTTATTTTAGTATAATGTTTTTGGAACTTTGAATCTGTATCTGCCATGTAAATCTGATATGGCAATACATTTAAATACAACCATAACACTATGCTAATACTAATGCTATTGTGGATTTCTACTTTTGCTGTTGGAGCAAATGTGAAGCAAAAATTATATTTGTTGTTTCTGTTCACCAAGTTTAACCAAATATGATTGACTTGTTAGAACTCTGAAAATATGAAAAGGGTGCATTTAAACATCTTAAAGCTGTGGAATGAAATTGTTTTATTACATTTTTTTAAATATGTTTGCAGAAACCAGTAAAGATGGCTCTGCGGCCAAACCTGGTGCAAAAAGACCGGTCTCGTCCCCTGATATGTGAGTATGTTGCCCTTATACCTCTCAAAATGAATAATGCAGATGTGTATACCAGACCTAATGCGTTTTACTGAAACTGGACGTTTCTTTGCCCTTTTAGGAAAGGCGCTGGTCCAAAGAAGGCCAGACCTGACCAGTGAGAGCTCGCATGACCCCTGACCCCGCCCTGTTTATGAGCTGAACCATGACTGAACTCCATCTCCTGCTGAAAGACCTTCCTGCTTCCACTTCTCACCCCATTCCATCATATGAAACAAAATGGAAGGAAACTGCAGCCAAAAATAGGAAAACGTAAAAAAAAAAAAATAAGAAAAGTCTTTCCTTGTCGTGTATTTGTGCTTCAGGGCGCAGTTTTAAACCTCACACCTCTCCTCAACATGTTAACTGCTCATCCCTGTAGGATTTGACATGCGGGCCACAGTGTTTCCCGCGTTCATGAATGATTTGACCTTTATTTTGGGAATTGTAGTGTAAAATATATGTATTTGTTCTGATCAATGACCCACTTTTGAGGCTTTCTCCACCTTTTTTTTCCCACACCCAGCTTTTTATTTTTTGGCATTTATAGAAACCTACTACAGAAAAAGATGCTTTTATTTTTATTTCCCCCTTGTCATCAGTCTATAGTTCCTGTACATTTACTTTTCTGAATCTCACGTTACTTTTATATGCTTGGTTTTGCATTGAGTTGGTAGATACGAATTGGGATTCTTCTCAAGCTGTGCAGCAAAAGATCGAACCATTTTCATTCTCTGCTTCAGGCTGTTTGGACTTGTTTAGGGATGCAGGCCTGTGTAAATGCTAAATTGGTGGAAATCTTTTTTTGAACGCAAGTTGGAAACAGTTTGTTCCTGTTTCTAGTGGTTGGAAAACTTTGCAGATGGATTGTTGGCTTAGCCAGAGTTTGAACTCCGTTGTAAATTAGTTCTTTCACGTAGCAAGACGTTAAACGAAAAACTCTTTGCCTTTTTTTATATAATTCCCTGTAACAAAATGTTTTTACATGTTGTCATCTATTGATTGCTTTTGTGTCTTGACATATAAAAGTAATGGAATTCTGTCTGTGTTCATTTGTCTGGTTTTGCCAGCTGTTTACTTCAGCAGTTTTATAATTTGTGTTGCTGGTGGTCTTGTCTTCTGAGAAATGATATGTACAAGAAATATAGATGACCAGCAAGAGATTAAAGATCATCTGTATCCGGTAAAAGAAGAGACATGGCTTTGAGATTTTAACATGAATATTTTCTTTAAATCCTGTAAGCGAGTCGAAAATGTACCATATTTGCCCTCAAATGTAGGTGAAACTTAACAAGTTTAACATCTTTTAACATGTAGGATTGCTCAAGTCTATTTGGCTCGTAAGTGTACAGCATGGATTTAGAAAACAGTTAACTATATATGAAAATGCATGTACGTATGCATTAAGTTATAGGATATCCAGGGTAAAATGCTTTTGATCGTGGGTTGATAACATTACCCATAAACCTAGGGGCATTTCTACACTACAAAATCATAATCATTTAAATGTATTACTTTCCAAATGCTGGTATCTGACACATAAGTGTAGATAAGCGTAAGCAATCGCCGTAAATTAAAAATTATATATATATATAAATTAGAAAGCGCAATCGATTATGATTGGTCCGTCCAGAACAGCGATGAGAAAAGTAACAGTTGCCACCTGACAGCTCTTTGTTTATACCAGAGCCGTTGAAAAACAAAAACTACAATTATACTGATTATTAAAATATTAGAATGATCTTTCCATTTTTGTTAGAAAAATATTGTTTGTCCGTTTTTTTTTATGTGGTTGACTAGAATAAATCAGTACGTGGTCGTTTTAAAAATACATTTGTCTTCATTCGCTTGCCGTACAGAAACGGTCTCCATGGCAATTGCTATTCGCTCATCGTCGGATCTTTACCACAGATGATCTCTTTGAAACAATCGTCCTGCTAGCAATTGTTTTCCTTCAGTTTTATACTAATATTTTGTTTTGTTTTGCACAGTTACTTTGCTGAATACTTGCCAGTGCGTGAATAGGAAACAGAGACACGGAATGGATCAGTACAGTATTCTGGGAAGGATTGGGGAAGGAGCTCACGGGATTGTTTTCAAAGCCAAACACATCGAGGTAAGACTGGACTGTTTTCGGGATATCTGTACTGATCCTGTGTAAATGACAATAGTTCACAAAAGCTGAAGAACGCTTCTGCACTGCTTCATCTGTTTCTGTTCAGACAGGAGAGACGGTGGCTTTGAAAAAGGTTGCTCTGCGAAGACTTGAAGATGGTATTCCGAACCAGGCCCTGCGAGAAATCAAAGCCCTGCAAGAGATCGAGGACAACCAATATGTGAGAGATACTGATCACTGGAGACTTGTGTAGTAAAGCTAGAGCTCTTTTGCTTCTGCAACTCACATTCTATGAATATGGAAGCCACATAACATAATGCATTGGTAAATGACATCAAATGAGATTAAAAGTCATAATTATAAGGTGAAACGACAAAGTTAGGCAATACTAAATCGTAATTATGATATAAAGTCAAAATGATTTGATAAAAAAAAGGAAAAAATCATAATTATGACAAAAAGTTACAAATGGAAATGGAAATTACGACAAAAAGTCATAATTCTGAGATGAAAAGTTGAAATTATGCCGTAGTAATGGCAGAAATTTATGAAATGAAAGTCGAAGTGATGACAAAAAGTCAAAATTATGAGATGGAGAGTCGGAAGTTATGATATACATGATATAAATTATGATAAAGAATGCGTCGTCATGGTTTTAACTACCACTGTTATGCCGATGACATCCAGCTATATACTGCTTGTCAACCAGATTCATCCTTATCTTCATGCGTCAGTGAGTTAAAGGATTGGCTACGTTCAAATTTTCTTAGTCTGAACTTGAGTAAAACAAATGGTCCCCCATCTCTAATAAAAAATCTAATTGATGTTTCTAGCTTTGACCTTGACGCTATTTCTGTTTTTCCATCGGCTACTGTTAGAAACGTAGGTATCATTCTAGACCCATCACTGACCTTGGACGACCAGAGTAGCAAACTCTCCAAAGCTGCTTTTTTTCAACCTACGTCGAATTGCACAACTTCTTCCTTTCCTCAGTAGAAAAGATTAGTGCATGCATTTATTACCACTCTCCTTGACTATTGTAGCAGTCTTTTCTCTGGCTTACCAGCTCACTCCATCGTTCGTCTGCAGTACATTCAAAATTCTGCTGCCCTATTATTAACTATTAAATCTGCTCACATAACCCCTATTCTGTTTCCTATCTTCAATGGGCGGCAGGTCCTTCTCTGTTACTGCACCCAAAGTTTGGAATTCACTTCCCCTGGCACTCAGAACAGTCACCTCTTTTAGTGAATTCAAATCAAAGCTTAAAACTTTTTTGTTTAATCAACACTATCACTAATTTACATTGTGTATTTGTCTGTTTTGTTTTCTATTTCTGTCTTTACTACATAATCTGTGTTATATGCAACTGCATTATTTGTAACTGAATTGGGCAAATGTCCAATGAAATTGTTTCTTTGTAATCAATATTTGCTGCTTTGGTGTACCTTGTAGAGCGTCCTTGAGCTTGGGAAAGGCGCTATATAAATTAAACATATTATTATTATATACTAAGTCATATTTATGAGATGAAAAGACATACTTATGAGAAGTCTAAATTATGACTTGCAAACTCGTGCCAGAAATTTGAGATGAAAGTGGAAATTGATATAAAAGTCAAAATTATGAGATGAAAAAGGCTAAATTGTCTGGGGAAGTCGTGGCCTAATGGTTAGAGTAGGGGTGCCCAAACTCGGTCCTGGAGGGCCGGTGTCCTGCAGAGTTTAGCTCCAACCCTAATCAAACACACCTGAAGAAGCTAATCAAGCTCTTACTGGGCATACTAGATTCTTAAAGGCAGGTGTGTTGAGGCAAGCTGGAGCTAAACTCTGCAGGACACCGGCCCTCCAGGACCGAGTTTGGGCACCCCTGGGCTAGAGAGGTGGGCTCGTAACCCAAAGGTTGTGGGTTCGAGTCTCGTACCGGCAGGGATTGTAGGTGGGGGGATTGAATGTACAGCGCTCTCTCCCACCTTCAATACCACGACTGAGGTGCCCTTGAGCAAGGGACCGAACCCCTAAGTGCTCCCTGGGTGCCGCAGCATAAATGGCTGCCCACTGCTCCGGGTGTGTGTTCACGGTGTGTGTGTGTTCACTGCTGCGTGTGTGCACTTTGGATGGGATAAATGCAGAGCACTAATTCCAAGTATGGGTCACCATACTTGGCCACATGTCATGTCACTTTAGTCACTTTTTTTCACTTAAATTGACATACTAAATCATTTGAGAAGTAAAAATAAAAATCTAACAGTAAAAATTATTTATGAGAAGTCAAAATTATGAAAAAAAAAAGTTAAAATTATGAGATGAAAAGCTGATATTGACATACTAAGTCATTTATGAGACAAATATGAGAAGTCTAAATCATGACTGTCAGTTATGAGTTTGAAGTCAAAGTTATGACAAGAAGTCAGAACTTTAGTCATAATTATGATTTTTTTTTAAAATGTCATTATGATTTACCAAAGCAAGATTTTTTTTTTCTTCATGTGGCAGAAATGGGCTTCCATGCTATGATGATTTGGAAAACCTGGAATCCTTTATTATTTATATTTTCCTCATTTGATCTAGATGTATTTTTATTTCTGTTTTGATCACCTCTACAGGTGGTGAAGCTGAAGGATGTCTTCCCTCACGGCACAGGCTTTGTGCTGGTGTTTGAGTACATGTTGTCAGATCTGTCAGAAGTCATTCGGAATTCCCAGCGTCCTCTCACCGCATCCCAGGTCAAAGGTTACATGATGATGCTGCTGAAAGGAGTGGCTTTCTGCCACGAGAACTCCATCATGCACCGGGTGAGGCTGTGTTCCTCATGTCATTACATTTGTCCTTCACTGTGATCTGTCCTATTAATGTGCTTTACATGTTTTTGTGTGCAGGATCTAAAGCCTGCAAACCTTCTAATCAGCTCGACGGGTCACCTGAAGATCGCTGACTTCGGTCTGGCCAGGCTCTTTTCTAATGAAGGAGATCGTCTGTACAGTCACCAGGTGGCCACCAGGTGATAGTTTACTTGAAGCTTCTGTCAAGCTGGCATTGAGCTACTCTGGTCCTAGTGGTGAGTTTCAGCTAAAGCATAGATTAAATGGCTAAAAATATTTAATGTGCTGTTTCAGATGGTACAGATCACCCGAACTTTTGTATGGTGCCCGGAAATATGATGAAGGAGTTGATCTCTGGTAGGAAATTTCCCATATTTAAAAAATAATTCTTGAGTAAAATGTTACTGATAATGAGTATAAAATGCATCAGCATGTTTTTTGCATTTTTATCTGTTTCTATCCTTCGATAAATAATTATAATTACTCTAAAAATATCCAATGTATTATGCAATTCTTAAATCTGTAGATGTAAAATGTATAGTTTGCATTTGTCTTTGTTTTCATTTTTTGAAAATTAAATGAGATGAATTGTACCAAAATAATCAATTCAAACTAAACTGTGACTAAATGCCAGATTTCATAGTACAATAAATAATGTATTCAAATGAGTGTCTCTACTCACAAGTCATTTTGTGAACTTTGTCTTTCCTCAAATGTCCACTAGATGGCAGTAGTGCCCATTCTACACTCAGCTGGTGTGTCTGTGTCTCTTCTGGCTTGTTTCAGGGCAGTGGGCTGCATTTTTGGGGAGCTGTTGAATAACTCTCCACTTTTCCCTGGAGAGAATGACATTGAGCAGTTGTGCTGTGTTTTACGAGTGCTGGGAACTCCCAACCAGAAAGTTTGGCCAGTGAGCTCTCATTTGCATTCACTATGCCCCGTTCATCATTACAGTTTTGACACACAATGGGTGAGCTATGGGTGAATATTTCACCTATGTCTTGTTGATCCAATCTAGGAAATAACAGAACTACCAGACTACAATAAAATCACGTTTAAAGAAAACCCCCCCATTCCTTTGGAGGAGATCGTGCCTGACACGTCACCACAAGCTGTGGACCTGCTGAAGAAGTTCCTCGTCTATCCATCCAAACAGAGGATCAGTGCTAGACAGGTGCACATTTGAAGTTCTGTACAGGTTCATTTAGTCCTGTAACTCCAGTGACACTCACAGTGCCCCGTCTCTCTCCTCAGGCTTTGCTCCATCCGTATTTCTTCACGGACCCTCTCCCGGCTCATCACTCAGAGCTGCCCATCCCTCAGCGTGGAGGAAAGCACTCCAGACAGCGCATGCAACCCCCTTATGAATTCACAGTGGATCGACCTTTACACGAGAGCTTGGTGGACCCCAGTCTGATCCAGAGACATGCGCAGAGTTTTTTGTGACAGCGGTATGAGCATAAATGTAGGGCTTTGTACTTTGTTTCACACCAGGAAGTGGCCCATTAAGTCATGCACATTTATTCATTTTTAAGGACAATAAAAAAAAAAAAAAAGTAATTATTTTATATGCTCTGTTGTACAGGAAATAGGCTATATGTTTCAGTTTTCCTGAACATACTTTTAGTGAACTCTCAAATGGCACGTCTAGATTTTCTGTGATATGTGATTAAATATAAAATATTTACTTAAAAAGTCGTTATTATGACAAAAAGACATAATTATGACTTTTTGTCGTTATGCTTTACCAAAGCGTGGTTTGTCATTTCTTGAGGATGAAAAAATAAATAAATGTGCAAATTATTTATTATAATGCGCTATTATACAGGAATATGCTATATAATGTTTTGCTGAATAGACTTTTATTAACTAGTTCACTATTTCACGCACAGCAGCAGAATATGTTTGTCAGTCCTGTTTTTGAGTCCTTAACACGGTTATGTTCACACAGAGTATGGATATTTTTAGGCGTGACAACCGCATTCTGTAACCGAACTCGCACTCGTAAATTTTCAGGACTCAACCGCATTCTCGGAAAACGTGCAGTGTGAACAGAACCGGATTGGACAACTAGTTGTCTGTCATGTCAGACAGTGCGAGAGAGAGTCGCTCTGCCTCACAAGCACGCGTCTATTGCGTGTTTTCATATGTGGTTTCAGTAACTTACAGTGACGGAGAAATGAGCTGTGAAAGTTTTCGATTCAGTCAGTTTTTCTCCACCGGAACCACTCCCGTCAGATTTGTGACTCAAATGCTTCATTACATTTACATTGTCATTTAGCAGACGCTTTTATCCAAAGCGACTTACAAATGAGGACAATAGAAGCAATCAAAACTAACAAAAGAGCAACAGTATATAAGTGCAAATGACAAGTCTCGATTAGCCTAACACAGTACACGTAGCAAGGTGTATATATATATATATATATTACACACACACATATACACACACACACACAAACAAAGAAAAACAAGTAGATAGAATAGAAAAAATAGAAAGCTAGTTTTTGTTTTTTGTTGTTTTTTTAAAATAAAGAATAAAAAAAGATAATTATAGATAAAGTAGAATTAAAATATAATAGAAAGTGTTAGAGTTAGAGGGTCAAATAAAGGGGGAACAGATGTGTTTTTAGTCGTTTCTTGAAGATGGTTAAGGACTCGGCTGCTCGGATTGATTTGGGCAGGCCATTCCAGGAGGGAACAGTTAATACACACATAATAACACTCCCCTACCCAAAATATTAATAACACTCCCCACCCAAAATATTAAATCTGCTGTCGGTTAATGAAGGTTTGACAGATGAACTCGCGACTTGATTGGATTCTTGTCATGTCAGAAAGTGATAAGGCAGCCATATTACCCTGTAGCCCAAGACTGGTTGCCCACTGAAGTTAAGCAGGGCTGAGCCTGGTCAGTACCTGGATGGGAGACCTCCTGGGAAAACTAGGTTGCTGCTGGAAGAGGTGTTAGTGAGGCCAGCAGGGGGTGCTCACCCTGTGGTCTGTGTGGGTCCTAACGCCCCAGTATAGTGACGGGGACACTATACTGTCAACAAGCACCGTCCTTCGGATGAGACGTTAAACCGAGGTCCTGACTCTCTGTGGTCATTAAAAATCCCAGGATGTCCTTCGAAAAGAGTAGAGGTGTGACCTCGGCATCCTGGCCAAATTTGCCCATTGGCCTGTGATCATCATGGCCTCCTAACAATCCCCATATCTGCTAATTGGCTTCATCACTCTGTCTCCTCTCCACCAATAAGCTGGTGTGTGGTGGGTGTTCTGGCGCACTATGGCTGCCGTCGCATCATCCAGGTGGATGCTGCACACTGGTGGTGGATGAGGAGATACCCCCTGACAATGTAAAGCGCTTTGAGTGCCTAGAAAAGCGCTATATAAATGTAATGAATTATTATAAGACTTTTACATTTTGTGGACGTCGCCATCTTTGATATTACTTTGGTCACTGTTGCTATGGTTACCGGTAATAAATACGGACTTGACTCTCATTGCACGTTCATACAAACAGTATTCGAGAAGCTACTGCAGGCTGCTGTGTGAACATGACATTTCGAGACTCACACCTGTGAGTAAATGCGGTTGTCAATCCAAAAAACTGACAGTGTGAACATAGCCTAGCTGTTTTTGTAAATAAATATATCCATTTCCATTTGCGTGCTACAGTTTACAGTACACATACTAGAGGAGTAGCCTATTTGACTTGATATCATCTCAAGCTGTTTTACTTACTCCACTTCAGAGGAATTGTAAAATGCCAATGGATGCCCCCACCCCACGATTCTTCCTTTTTTGCTCAACAACCATTAACCTTGTCGTTTCACACCAGCTAGTGGAAATTAACTGATAATGGTTTTATTCAGTTAGTCGTAACTTTATACGGTGATAAATGCACCAGAACAGGTTTGGTCATGCAGTTTAGTGCCAACACTCTTCACAGCACCAGGTTTTTGCTCCAAAGAACAAGTCACCAGGTAACTAGTTTTGAATCATACGCTACTGTTCAAACATTTGGGGTCAGTAAGATTTTTTTTCAAAGAAATTAATGCTTTTTTTTTTCAGTAAGGGTGCATTAAATTGATCGGAAGTGACGGTGAAGACATTTATAATGTTACAAAAGATTTCTATTTCAGATAAATGCTGTTGTTTTGAACTGAAACAAGTGTAATATAAAGCAGCACAACTGATTTCAACATTGCTAATTATAAGAAATGTTTCCTAAACAGCAAATCTGCATATTAAAATGATTTCTGAAGGATCATGTGACACTGAAGACTGGAGTAATGATGCTGGAAATTCAGCTTTGCATCATAGGAATAAATTACATTTTAAAATTGTTCAAATAGAAAACGGTTATTTTAAATAGTAATAACAGTTTTACTGTTTGTACTGGTTTTTGATCAAATAAATGCAGCCTTGGTGAGCAGAAGAGACTTCTTTCTAAAGCATAAAAATAATCTTACCAACTTAAAACTTCTGAACAGTAGTGCACATCCCCTGTTATATAATTCATAATAATAGGGAAACGTTCTACCTTTCAAATGATCATTACATTGTTGAAAAGCTGTGAAGGAAGCTAGTCTTATCACTGAACATGCAAACACTAGTTTCTATTAATAGTGCGTAAGGCAGTTCTGTCCTTGATTTATATCTGTTTTTACATTACTGTATTACTTTAACCACTAACGCAGTCATAGTTGTGAATCTCTTGTAAAAATACATCACAGAACCTCTCCGTCAGAGGTGGAAGCAAATAGTGTAACTTAAATGAATCTGTTAAATTAACATGGACACGATATTTCAGGCAAATAAACTTCAAACAAGGAATTTTTATTCTGTTGTAGCCTGTTATACTTTACATTGCATTAGCTAAATGACAGACACTATCATTTCCCTTCAGACTGAACAAACAAAAGGATAGAAAACGGTACGCTTTGATTAACAAATGACTTCCACAGCCCCGCTCTGTGTGCATGTGGTAATGCTAGACGTCTTTAGAATGATTTCAGCATTTGTCTCTATTTGCATTCGTGCAATCAGCTCAACTGTCCTCTTGTGTTACATATTAAGCTGCGCTTTGCATCTTTTATTGGCTCCACTTTCCCTTTTGTTCCATTGGTGGTTTGGCTTTTATCAAGATTTTTATTTATTTATTCTTTTTTTTACGTTGGTTATAATTCATAGAATTTATAGCAAGCTTAGTTAAAGGGATGGTTCACGCAAAAATAAATATTTGCTCATTCTTACATAGTTCTAAACCTGTATGTTTTTCTTTCTTCTGTGGAACACGAAATATATTTTGAAAAATGTCTCCAGCTATTTTTTTTTTCTTGTCCATACAGTGAAAGTCAATGGGGTCCAAAGTTGTTTGTATCCCAACGTTCTTCGAAATGTCTTCTTTTGTGCTCCACAAAAGAAAGTCGTACAGGTTTGGAATGACGTGAGGGTGAGTAAATGATGTAGATGTGAGTAAATGATTTTCATATTCTACGTTTGTTTATTTCTTTATATTGCACTTTGTATGTCTTTATACTTTAAGTATAATTATAAGTATAATTGTAAAATAGTTTAAAGCTGATATTTGAGAATTTAATCAAATGTTCTTGATGCATTCGTTTCAACTTCCACATAGAAACCTTTCTGTGTGTTTTAGCAGATCTGGGTATTTGATTTAGTTGGCTTTGCATATTTGAAATTCTCATTTGCAGTGCAGACTGATGTGGCATATTTCCAGACTTTTTTTGTGCATTTGCACTTATGAGACACCCCATTTGCTGAAGCTGACCTGTCTGTGGCTCCGCCCACTGTCCCCACATGTCTAACCTCAATCACTCCGAGCACAGAAGTCTTCACACATAAAGTTCTGAGCCATCAGCGGTGCTCACAGACACCTGTCCTGAAGACTGAACAGATAAGCTCAGGTATGCCACATTACAGTCAGATCTACATTACCATATCTACAGCTGCATTAGCAAATCAAACAATGCAAGTGATGCTTATCTCGTTTTAGAGTCATTTGATTCTGTGATTTGAAGTGTAATTTCTGACAGGTGACACTGTCACTGCTGTTGTGATTTGTCTTGTGCACTTCAAATCAGTATCATTTATTTTAAGATCTGTGCTAAAGATAGAAGGGATTGTTTGCTATGTGAAAGTACGGGTTTTGTGTTAAATGTGATTTGAAATGTAAATATGGTCTTGTGTCCATAGAATAAATGTTATTGCGATTGCAGCTTGGTTTCCAAACATATTCAGAATGTATTTCTGAAATGTATTTTTATGTGGTTCAGCTTTTAACTGAAGATATTCTACTGCAGTTATTAAAAGGATTAAATAATAGCTTGGATTGTAACTGATTCTTCTTGTTCTTACTGACAGAATTATGCATAATTAGGAGGTTTTCCCTCAATGCACTACACTTTAACATGCTACTTCAGGGGGAAAAAAAATGTATGTGACATTTTCCATGTGCATTAAATGTCCTTTTCACGCGGTACAAAAGGAGTTCCTGACAGACATGGAGACCTCCTCTGAACAGGCTCGCTGGGTTTCCTCCTCCATGGTATCATCAGAGGTGATGCCCACTTACCCACCTGACTCCAGCTATATGGTCCATACTGAGGAGGGTTCAGTGTACCCCTACACCGATGCAGATCACAGCAGCCTGCCCTCTTTGTTCAGCAGCCCTGTCAATGGTCGTCCATCTGGAGCATTTCAAACCAGCTCAGGTCAGTGCTGCACTGCAGGACACAGCACACTGTCAAGAAAGTATTATGGCAGTGTCACACGTTACTTTGATATACACTACCTACCATTCACAAGCTTGAGGTCGGTAAGATTTTAAAATGTTTTTGAAAGAAGTCTCTTCTGCTCACCGAGGCTGCTTTTATTTAATCAAATAGTAGTGTATACTGTACTGAACAATTACCATATTCATATGCTATTACTTTTTCTTGGTACTTTAAAGAACAGTGCCATAGTATTAACATGTCCAAAATATACTGTGCTGTCCTATAAAGAAAAAAAGCATATAAATAATATAAAAAGAACCCACTAGTACAGAGAAACTATATGTAAGTGAAAGTATGGGACTATCTAGCCATAAAATGAGTGATTTTGACATCTTCAGTAATGGTTATATTTCAAATGTATTGTTAAAGAGTGTGTTGTGTCTTGAGGACAAATCTCCCAAATGTCATTAATGTTATGAATAAAAGTTGACAAAAAAAATTATTCAATTGTCTCGATTACTCAATAAGATGTACAAAAATCTTTCTTTTATCAGAGAAAAGAGTCAGGATTTGTACTTTGAAGGTCTAAATTAAATTATAAGAATAATTTTATTAGAGCATTTTTACTTTACACAAGTAAAATAATGCTTTTGATGTCCAAATACTTTCTCATATCCCAGTTTAATATGCAGAAAAGTAATTGAATGAGAGTTGAAACTTTTCAAAATATATATGTCTCTGTGGTGCTATCAACATGCTCTTTTTACTTGAGCCGCCCAATGGAGCAGCATTAACAGACTTTCCCTGATTTCAGTTTCTTTCTTTGAGCTTCCTTCCTTCCTCCTTCTCTCCCTCAGTATATCCCGTTTACTCCTCTCCAATCCTGGGAAACCTGTCCTGGCTGGAAAGTTTGAGCAGCCCCTCTCTAACCAACCTCTTCCCATCATCCCCATCCTCCTGGCACAGCAGTGCGTTTTCCTCATCCTTCCACGGCTCCACGTCCCTTTCATCTGCCAGACCGCCTCGTTCTGCCCTTCCCTCCCTTATCCAGGACCAAAAGGACACCCTCATTGTGCAGGATAGCATGAAAGGAGAGATGCCGAGTCCTCCTGGAGGTGGGGAGTCGTTTGGCAGTGTGTTTTCCCCTTCAGTGAGCAGTGTGTATGCGCAGACACACTCCTCGAAAACACACTTGCAGTCACTGAGCCACTACAGTCCTTACGGGAGCTTCACGCAGGACTACAGCAGTTCGCTTCTCTACGCACCCTCGTCCTTCTCACCCAACTTATGCTGCAAGATGAAATTCTCTCCTTTAGGTGAGGAAGTATCATAACAGGCGGATAATGTGGGGTGGCAAAAAGCGATTTTCTTACTCTATATTTTTGTCTTGTTTTCTAGTACAAATATCTAAACATTCTTAAATCAAGATAGATTTACTTGAGAAGCAAAATGACTTAAGGTATTAAGTTTTGTTTTCTGATAAAATTATCAAAATTAACTGGGTTTTTGCTTAAAACAAGAAAAAATATCTGCCAATGGGTTCAGAAAAATATTCTCGTTTTCATTTTGAATTAAGTTTATTTTTCATCTGACCACATTGGCAAAAAAACATTTTTAGTTTAAAGGAGACAAGATGTAATATAAGTCTCTGGTGTCCCCAGAATGTATCTGTGAAGTTTAAGTTGAAAATACTCCACAGATCATTTATTATATCATTTTGAAAATGCCTATTTTGAGTGGAAGCAGAAACACGCTGTTTTTCGGGCCTGTCTCTTTAAATGCAAATGAGCTGCTGCTCCCCGCCCCTTTTTCCAGAATAGAGCTGCATCATTACAGCTGATATCTGCTAAAAACATCTGTTATGGTTCTGATTATCATGTTTATCGTGCTGAAATCATGCGGTTAAAACCACATGAGTTTAAACTTCTGATATACGGTTTTCTGAGCGCACACATCCGAAGCACACGGACAGAAAGCGGCTGTCACAGCATGTGAGTACTAAACTAAGTTCTCATTCACACACAAGTTTACGTTAAAAAACCCACCTGAAGTTGCAAAGACTAAAGTCTCAAAACCAAAGAGATATTCATCAAAGTTAAGACTAGGGCTGGGTATCGAGTTCGATACTTTTTAGGCACCGACCGAATTGCCTCGATACCATCGAGTATCGAAAAACGTCTCGTCGTTCGGTACCAAATTTCGATACCTAAGGGGTTAATCTCATCAACGTCAGTGAGGCGCAGATCGATCAGTGTTTGACACCCGCGAGAGCGATGCGAAAACGTACGGAGTAGTCTGCTCGTGGTATCTTACTATAGCCTAATATAGGTCTGCACAGTCGGTCCGCGACTGTGACACTCAGAGATGTGGCTCACACATGAGTATTTAGTGTGAATGCGTCCCAGCCCCCTTAGATGTAAGGCTACATTTACACTGGTGCGCTTTTGTTTTAAAATGAAAACGATCCTCGTCTTGCTGGCGTTTCCCCTGGGTTTCAAGCCGGCTTTCCACTATCTCCGACAAATGACATACCGAAAGTCATTCATTTCCAATGGAGAGTAGTGCGGGAGCTGTGTAGATAGAGTTCCAATCACATGCAGATGTCCGTTCATACTTCAAGACCGAAAGCGCGTGTTATGTGACCATTCATGCACACTGTAGCATCATGCTACATAAGACCAGGGTTTAAATTGGGCCGGGCTGTCTGGGGCTGAGCCCCGGCACTTAATGTTCCAGGGCTTGACATTAACTCTTCATTAACGCCAGACAAGTAACATGAATACAACAGATTAAATACAACACAGCAATAATATACACACTGGCCTGAAGAAAATGGGTGTTCATTCAAAGAAGGTTTTCCTATGAATTAATTAGTAGAACAGTCCATTTCTCCTGTGCATTTGTACCCCTTGTTTCTGGAGAAAGCAGAATGAGAGCCGGCTCGCATTCCACAAGGTTGTAAATGTATCGGGTTACCATGAAACCAGGGTCTTGTTCGGCGTCCTGGGGTGTTACAAAGTATTTGTGAAATCTAGCTAACAAAATATATATTGTGTGTTGGAGTGTTCCAGACGCTACACCAAATACACAAAATAATGATCTTTAAAAAAGCATCATATGACCCCTTTAATATGTTATGTCATTTTTCTTCTCAATTAAATGTATCTTGATTTAAGAAAGGTTTAGATATTTGTACTAGAAAAACAAAAACGCATTTTTTTTTTCTGCAGTGAAGTTAAACCGTTCTAGAGTCAAACCTTTCATGTTGTGATCCATTAACTCGAGCCATTCTGGTCTTTTAACAAAATACATTTTGTTATAATATCCAAACAAACAACACGAAGTGTAGAACAATTACAATATTCCAATCCCATCATTTTAAATAATTAAATTAGAATAATAATAATAAACTTTGGTGTTTTATTAAAAATGTGAAATCATGTTAATTTAATGTTAAGTTCATCACAAGTAGCTTTTCCACAAGCTGTGGTAAATACTAATACACATAATACACTAATACACAAAAATAATGCAATAAATATGAATTAACATGTAGCATAAAACCCTAATGTACATAACTGGCAATAAAAAACTAAGATGAATGAATCAATGAAAAACCATCAAATGTGAGTTGTCACAGGGAATTCTGGGAATTTCAGTTTACAGTTTTTAACTGTAAATTATAAGATGACATTCTTTTCCCTTCCAAAAACTTAATTTTACTGTAAAATTACATGAAAAGTTTCTTTAGATACAGTTTCACAGTATAGAATAAGGGAACTTATTGTTAACCAACTAACATGTTTTTACCCTAGTATTTTCTACAGTCTTTGTCAAAATTACGATATTTTTTTATACAATCTTAAAATTGAATGTTCTTCAGTGGTTCTTTGCAGTACTTTTGGTTCAGCTACTATATGGGTCTTTGGTGTTACTCTAAAGGTTCTGCAGATCAGCACATTGGTTTCTGAATTGTATAAAAATCACCAGCACATAAATGGTTTTCTAAAAAACTAAAGAATAAAAGTTCTCATAGGACTTCAGTCTGTAAATGCCCTAATTGAAATCTTTATTTTTAAGAGTGTGTTTCATTGTGTATTTCTGATAAAGCTGGGCAATGATGTGCAATGTGAACATTATTTATCATCTTTTGTGGTGACAGAGCCGCGTGAGTGTGTAAACTGTGGGGCCACTGCAACCCCTCTGTGGCGGCGTGATGGAACGGGACACTACCTCTGCAATGCCTGCGGTCTGTACCACAAGATGAACGGACAGAACAGACCCCTCATCCGACCCAAAAAGAGACTGGTACACCTCACTTATACTCAATTCACTGATAAAGAGAACGAACTTAAAAAAAAAAAAAAAAAACTCTGCTCATCAAGGCTGCATTTATTTGATCAAAAATACTGTAAAAACAGTGAACTGTTATTACAATTTGAAATAACTATTTTCTATTTGAATGTATTTTAAAATGTACTTAAAAAGCTGAATTTTCAGCATCATTACTCCAGTTTTCAGTGTCACATGATCCTTCAGAAATCACTCTAATATGCTGATTTGCTGCTGCTGCTATGTTAAAAACAGTTGTGCTGCTTAATGTTTTTGTGGAAGTAAGTTCAAAAGGACAGCATTTATTTCAAATACCTTTTGCAGTAATATAATTGTCTTTACTGTCCCTTTTGATCAATTTAATGCATCCCTGCTGAATAAAAGTATTGATTTCTTACTGACCTCAAACTTTTAAACAGTAGTCTATATGTGATTTATAGACTTTCTGCTATATATTTCTCTCTCTGTAGGTCATCAGTAAGCGAACAGGAACTCAATGTGCGAACTGTCAGACCAGCACCACCACGCTGTGGAGACGCAACGCCGGCGGAGAGCCCGTGTGTAACGCTTGCGGACTCTATTTCAAGCTTCACAATGTGAGCAACTTCACTCATTTTACTTGACTTTTTAATTAAAGGGGTCATATGATGCTGCTAAAAAGAACATTATTTTGGGTATTTGGTGTAATGAAATGTGTTTATGCGGTTTAAGGTTCAAAAAATACATTATTTTCCACATACTGTACATTATTGTTTCTCCTCTATGACCCGCCTTTCTGAAACGCGTCGATTTTTACAAAGCTCATCTTCTGAAAAAGCGAGGTGTGCTGTGATTGGCCAGCTATCCAGTGCATTGTGATTGGCCGAATACCTCAAGAGTGTGACGGAAATGTTACACCCCTACCATATTGTGATGATGCCCTGTCAGGCCAGAGCGATGATTCAAAAACATGAAAACCCATTATAAACGAGGCATTTGTTGCATCCAGTGGGGACATAATTATGGATCATAATGACTTGTACTGTCTTTTTACGTGTTGCGTTGCATCGCGCCATGTAAACATAAAACCATGTCTGCATTTGTGATCGGAGAAATGACAAACAACAAGCCCTACTCTACACTGCCCAAAAAAACTTGCTTTAAATATATAAAATATAAAAACTCTTTAAATATAAAAAAACGTACTTACAGTCTTTGAGTCAGAACAGCCGGCATTGTAGTCTACTCTCCCAGGATCAGGAAACAGTCATCCATAAAATGTGCTGCACACATCTGAATATTTGGGTTGAAGTGTTCTGGAACAGTGTTGTAAATACAACTTAACCACTGATTTCTAGTCGTGTCCATTTTTGGAAGACCAAACAAAGTAGTTTCGCTTTCACAATGAAACACACAGCGTCACACACGGCGGCCTAGAGTGAGCAGAGGCCGGGGGATAAAGTGAGGAACGGCCAGTGGGCTTGAGAACGGCGCGGCCGGCGTATTCGACGAAGGAGCGTCCAGAGGGCTTGCGGCAACCTCATGTGACGACCCCGGACTGGACTCCGCTTCGTCCACGGTGAAAGCCGATCCGGCCATCCACAGCGTGAAGTTGTAGTATTTCCTCAGCGACCAGCACGGATCAGCTCCAGGCATGACGAAGCGGATATCGTCCTCTTTTGGAAGACCAAACAAAGTAGTTTCGCTTTTACAACGAAACACACAGCGCCTTCACGACATGGCGGCAGCAACAATAGTACAGCGAGAATAAAAGTTACGCCTTCTTTCTTTGCGTGAACATTTGGGTGGCGTTATGCAAATCTTCCCACATAGTGATGTAGATATGTGGGGGTGTGTTAGAATGAGCCGTTTTAGGTAGGTGTGGTTGACTCTTAACTTTTATAAAGAATATCTCTTTGGATTTGAGACTTTAGTCTTTGCAACTTTACAGATCTTCTTTATGCACCAAGAGCTTGTAACACTCCAAAGAGAAAGGAAAAATTGAAATCGCATCATATGACCCCGTTAAAATGTAAAAATGGTATTGGGTTAATTGAGTAAAAGCTGATGCGTGTAATTTGAATGTAAAAATCTGCGGTCGAATTCACTGTAAAGTTGTGTCACTCAGGGAATTGCGGCATGCAAATTGCATGTAGCACCAAATTGTTGCATGCATTTGTGCCGTTACCTGATTTGCATGAATTCGTTCTGTGTATTGTGAGCAAAGCAAAACAAAAACAAATCATTCATAGACATTTCCTCCCTGAACCTCTGCAACACTTTCAGTCAACTTCTGACTTACTCTACACCGTAAAGTACTTTTGGCAAATTTCAACCAGATGATCATTATGCAATTCCATTTGGCTAGAAATTGCACACAGCAGCTCTAACTGTAGTTCTGTGTCTAATACTTCAATCCCTCTCATCAGGTGAACAGACCGCTTGCTATGAAGAAGGAAGGCATCCAGACGCGCAACCGTAAGGTGTCCAGCAAGAACAGGAAAGGGAAGAAGTTTAGTGCCACAGAGGAGAATCTATATTTTTCAAAGTATCCTTCATCTGATCAGAATTTCGACTTGTATTCTCAGAGTCCAGGAGCTCTGGGCGTCTACAGCCACTCTTGCCATTCACTGCCGCCCACCGCTGCCTTCCACAGCCACGCCAGCCTGCCCTACCCATACCACCCACCAGCTGCCATCTTACCCAGCACGGTGTGACAGGAACCATGGAAAGCTGGGAAAAGTTGTACAAAACACTCACAACTGCCCAGCCATGTGTTGAGATGCTCAGTAAAAACATACTTGAAAACTTAACAGATACGGATGCATGAAAAAACACGTTGCCCTAAAAATATTTGGATGCTTAAGTCACACATGATATCTGAATGTCAAAACATCAAATCATGTGCATTTATTTTAAAAGAAAGACAAAACAAACACACTTTTCAAATTTGTTAGATTTGAAAAGCTTGAAAGATGAAAAATATTGACACTTTGTGCTTGTGAAGCATTAGTGGAACTTGTCCATAGTTAGAAAACTACATGAAAGTTTTGACAAAGGTTTGGGGTCAGTAAGATATATATTTTTAAGAAATTAATACTTCTATTCAGCAAGAATGCATTAAATTGATCAAAAGTGACAGTAAAGACATTTATAATGTTACACAATTTTAAATAAGCGCTGTTCTTTTGAACTTTCTATTTATCAAAGAATCCTGAAAAAAGTATCAGTGTCTACAAAACTAATAATAATAATCAGAAATGTTTCTTGATCAGAGAGTCCGAATATTAGAATGATTTCTAAAGGATCATGTGACACTGAAGACTGGAGCAATGATGCTGAAAATTCAGCTTTGATCACAGAAATAAGTTACATTTTACAATATATTCAAATAGAAAACAGTTATTTTAAATAGTAATCATATTTCACATCATTACAGTTTTTACTGTATTTCTGATCAAATATATGCAGCCTCGGTGAGCAGAAGAGATTTCTTTCAAAAACCGACCCCAAACCTTTCAATGATAGTGTATATATAGACTGCCTTTACTTTGTTGTGTTTGTAATCACTTTTCTATAACTTTTTTAACACTTTTCTTTGTGGAATTTGTAAGCTGTTTTTAAAAGGTTGCATGGAAAAAGAATGCAGTTTACAAATAAAGATTTATGTAAAGCATCGTTTTCTTTTTGCTGTGAATCTTGACAAGATACAAGAGGAGCGTGAAGACTTGCTTGAACACAGTTGGAATTCAAACCAGTCTTTATATCAAAACGGCGAGGCTCCTTGACGTAACTGCATCATAACAGACGTTGTGCTTGTGGTTTTTCTATCACTCCATTGTGATCTCTGCAGCCTGCATGAATTAGCTTGTAGAGGGAGTTTGACGGTTACGATGTGCCATGACAGCACATATGCAAATCCAGCACTTTCCATAGAGTGGCGGAGCAGGTCAAGTGCTGCTCGAAAATCATAGGGGATGAGGGATGCCAAAATGCATAAATCATATGAGCTGTTTCAGTGCCAATTAGTTCAGATTGTACTGTGGGAGAAACATTTCTTCAACAGTATTTTTTTTATCATTTATGATTTATCGGCTTCAACAGTCTGAAACACATTATAGCTTAGTTTAGCAAATCACAGGCAAATTCATAGATGTTCCACTTTCTTATATCATATGTTGCTCCCTATATATGTGTGTGTGTGTGTATATATACATATGGAAATGTTATATTACATTACATGATTATTTTTGTCTTTGAGCCAATAATTCCATACAGCAAAACATTTTTATTTTCAAATATATATTTCAAAATGCATATAATACTTACCGTACATAAATATTTTTTCTTTATTTGGCCTTTTTTGTACATTTTTGAAAGTACATTTTGAAATATATTTTGGTATATGTGACCCTGGAGCACAAAAGCAGTCTTAAGTCGCTTGGTATATTTTTAGCAATAACCAAAAAAACATTTTATGGGTCAAAATTATAGATTTTTCTTTTATGCCAAAAATCATTAGGATATTAAGTAAAGATCATGTTCCATGAAATTATTTTGTAAATTTCCTACCGTAAATCTATCAAAATGTAATTTTTGATTAGCAATATGCATGGCTGAGAACTTCATTTGGACAACTTTAAAGGCGATTTTCTCAATATTTTGATTTTTTTGCACCCTCAGATTCCAGATTTTCCACACAAAAAAAGCTTATTTATTCAGCTTTCAGATGATGTATAAATCTAAATAAAATAAATAAAAGACCCTTATGACTGGTTTTGTGGTCCAGGGTCACATATGAAGGTAGAAACTAAAAGTATTTCATTGAGCATTATAATACATTTAAAATATATTTTGGCCAGGTTTTTTTTTTGTTGCCATGTGAGAATGTTTGGCTGTTGTTTGTGGTTGCCATGGTTTTGCTCTACAGTTTCTAAGGTGTTCTGAGTGTTATTAAGATGTTGTTATGTTTACTAAAGAGTTCTCAGTGGTTGCTTATAAGTCAAAATCATAACTCTAACCAACCTGTTAGAGACAAGACATTCAGTGTCACCCAAACACACACGCAAACTATAAATCCCTGCATCATTGAGCCACCAGATTGGCTTTATTGTGTGCATTGTTCCATGCCGGTCTGGAAAAAAGCCTCAGCGCTGTGGAACATGGGTCTCTGTGTGAGCTGAGCTATGGTTGGCGATGATATCTCAGATAGCGCCCCTCCTCTCTCCTCCATCTGTTTCCATCTCTCATGGTTGACCACATAGCTCTGCTCCCCTGGCTTCTAGTGGAGCCTCATTGTGCAACGCAGGCGGCTTCTGGTTTTCCGGACTCTATAAAAAATGTGCAAAAGGGAAAGGGAGATGCACAGAAAGAGGCTGCAAGCAATGGCATGGGCTTTTTTTCAAGCCTGGTGCACAAGGCACATCGTTCGCTTTTTTCTGTCATGGGCTTCCTCCATTCAGGGTGAAGCCGTGTTATCTGGTGGAGTCGGCACCATAGTGAGGGGGAAATGCTACTGAATGACTGGGAGAGATTAGCAACCACAGGACAGGTCCAGCCGACACGTACAGGCCCGAACGTTAGAGCTCACCAGCTCCACCGCGCTCACGCTCGCAACCCCTTTTCCATTCACGTAAACAGACTGACAAAGACAAGAAGGGCTTAAATGGGGGGTTTTCTGTTTAAAATTTATAGAGGTTATGTCTCAGTATGCTGAATAAACTGCTTTTGTGTGCAAAAATGTTGATCACAATACAAACGGGCTGATCTGTTTGGCATGAAATATATGAGAAGCATTAAAAAAATGTTCCAGCAGGTATAGGATTGATTGGTGGCACTACATGTTTGTTTTGATGGCTTCTACCAAGGGGTCAAAATTTTGCTGGTTGACCTCAATGACCCCGTAAAAGCATCTTTCTCCACTGACAGCCATTCAAATGTAGCTGTGTATTCTGATTAAATATTTCCCTGTATTATTGTAGAGCTCGTTTTTAAGAGCTAGCTTGATGCAACGCAACGCGTAAAAAGACAGTATAAGTCATTATAATCCGTAATTATGTCCCCACTGGATGCAACAAATGCCTCGTTTATAATGGGTTTTAATGTTTTTGTCTTGTCGCTCCGGCCGGACAGGGCATCATGACAGTATGGTGAGGGGCGTAACATTTCCGTCACTCCCTTCAGCAAGAATGCATTAAACAACGCACTGGATAGCTGGCCAATCACAGCACACCTCGCTTTTCAGACCGATGAGCTTTGTAAAAATCGACGCGTTTCAGAAAGGCGGGGCATAGAGGAGAAACAATAATGTACAGTATGTGGAAAATAATGTGTTTTTAAACCTTAAACCGCATAAACACATTTCATTACACCAAATAATGTTCTTTTTAGCATCATATGACCCCTTTAATACACTTAAATAATCTAACTCTGATGCAAATTAAAATGCTAAAAAAAAAATCTAGATGTAAATCAAATTATATTTCTTTCTTCCCCCCTCAATAACTACTTATTTTAATGAAGAACATACAGTTCTTTACTTTCTGGAATTACAAAATAAATCATGGTTAATAAATTTATTATATCAATATTCCCAATTACTGTTAATAAAAAAAGTTTGAAAACAATGGGCTTTGTCATAATTACAGCAAAATAATACTAAAAATATCTTAGTTCAGGTTTTTCTAATCTTTCTGATGCCACGGATCCCCAAATATGATCATCCTTGTGCAAGGAACTCCCACCCTGAAATGAAATAATTTTAAATATTATAAATGTGTAAAATATTATTTGGGAATTTTTTTTATTACATTATTATGTTTTTTTGTACTCAATATAGTAATGTAGCATTAGGTGCATTATATTATTAATTTATTATTTTAATCAAATGTATTTATTTAATTTGATTTCATTTTTAGCATTTATTTATTTTTACTTGTTTTTCAATTTTTTCCCACAGAGCTCTAGCACTACCTTGTAGACCACAGTTTGAAAATAAAACATCCTATTTAGCCTTCCTGGTTGTTGCTACCGCGTGTTTTAAGTTTGAGCTCCGTCAAATTAATTCTTTATCGTCTATTTTTTCTAATCTTAAAATCAATTTTATACACCATCATTTCCGTTTCTATAACGTGTGAATGTATCCCGAGTCCGCTATCAGCTTATATCCCGTTAGCATCGCCAGCGTGGTTGCCGCTAATCTCCTTACATTGCTAATACTCTATTCACATACATTATCATTGTTTTACTCACTGTTACTTGCTTTAATGGCGGATGTGTGTCTACGCATTCGGTGCAGCTCGAGCTGGAGGCCATGGAGAAGCAGATCCACGACCTGGTGGAGAAGCAGGCCCAGGTGAGGGAGTGGAGAGCCGTGCTGGAAACATCCCGGGCTGACGCTCACAAGTCCGGGGTAAGTATACAGCGCGATACTAACACTCCCACCACCTCTACTCCGTGTGCTTCTCTGCACAGGCCCGGTGCCGCAGCGGGGAAGTGTGAATATATATATGAGGGAGGCGGGACTCCCGCATCACTGTCGTGATTGGTCTGTCAACCAACAGACGTGGTGTAATTGATGCTTCCAGGATTGGTCACGCCCGAGGCGATTCCCATAGTGGGATACCGAACGAATGTTTGAAAGAGAACCAGCCGATTCATTGCTGATTGATTCCGTGTTTTGAACGAATCGGTTGAGTCAAAGCTTCACTATCCCATGCATAAACATCTGATAAATCTGCCGTTTGAACGAATCGTTTGAATGAACGACTCAATGACTCATTAAACGCTCACTACTGGCACCTACTGGCGTTTTAATTTCATTAAAAAGTATCATTTCCACAATCATTTCTTGTTTGTATATTCAAAATATTTAAAATAATCTCATAATATTATTTAATGCAGTTGTATTTTTCAGTGTAAATGATTTAATTTGATAATGTATAGGTAATCACATTATTATAATTTAATTTATAGATCAAATGTAAGAATTTGAAATGAAAGTATTAATGAAATTAGTGGGAAAATGCCCTCTATAAAAGGAAAAAAAAAATGCCCTTGGATAAAATATAAAAAACACGCAGATTTATGTCACAGCTGATAGAAAA